TAGCCCTATACACCAGATCCGGCCTATTGCCTGTTTTTTTTTTTTTTAAGATTTTATTTATTTATTTGAGAGAGAGAGAATGAGAGAGAGCAAGCACATGAGAGGGGGGAGGGTCAGAGGGAGAAGCAGACTCCCCGCTGAGCAGGGAGCCCGATGCGGGACTCGATCCAGGGACTCCAGGATCATGACCTCAGCTGAAGGCAGTCGCCCAACCAACTGAGCCACCCAGGCGCCCCTATTGCCTGTTTTTGTACAGCCTAGAAACTGAGGATGGTTTTCCATTTTTGAAATGTTTGTTAAAATAAAAAATGAAGATTGCAACAGTAAGCACATGTAGGCAGCAAAGCCTAAATTAATTACCCTCTGGCACTTTATAGAGAAAGCTTGGTGAGAGATGCAGACTATAAATTTATCTATCATCTTAGAAGACTTATAGCTGGGTGAGTCTGCTCCAGCGCTTTAAAAAAAATACATAGGTCCCCAGCCCTCACCCTTGATGATTTACCTAACGGTCTCTTTTCCTTCTCTTACATGCATAACCTTATAGGTAAGTTGTGCCAGAAGACAGTTATATTTAAAAATGAAAAAGTTTGGCTGCTGTTAGTAGCAAACATGTTCTCCTAGCAAGCGGAGTGGTGCTGATGACACAGAACCTCAGGGTTGGAGTAGATCTTGAATAGTTATCTAGTTTTCAGGAATCTTTTCCCATCTCCATCTTCCCAATAATTACATAGCAACCACTAAGTACTGGTTCTGAGCCGTGTGGTGGAGATCAAGAAACAAGACAGGGTCTCTGCGGTCAGCAGTTGTTGGTAGAAAGGGAGAAGTCAGAGATCGGGAGGAATAAAATAGAGTATAACTTAAAAGCTAAAAAGAGATTTGGACAAGATAATGTGGAGGCTCAGAGGATAAAGGGTATTCACCTCTTTCTAGGGACATGTGGGGAGCAAAGATCAGACAGGCAAGCTCACAATTTGAGCTTTTAAAGGATAAACAGGAGAGGTCAGCAGAGTGAGAGATTTGGTAAAAACTATACAAAATTGGATTACACTAAGGCCCATCTTAGCTTTAAAAAAAATTTCTAGAGAAATGATCCTGGGGCCTCTATAAAATTTGGAGGGTGAAAGGCCAGAGAGCCCTAATACAGAGTTTGGTGATCCTTTGTTGCTATTTTGCATTTTCTGCCAACTTTTTTTATTGTTATCATTGGTAACATTTGTATGTAATGGAAAAAGTTAATTTTAAGAACATAAAGAGGTCATATAACTGGCTTATTTCTGTCATTTCAACTCTGGCTTAAAAGACATATAGGTATGTTAGTCATTTCATAAGCCACTAATCTATGGTAGGAGGCACGCTGAACTTAAGAATCAGAGGTCTTGCTTCTACTGTCTGTAAGGCATCGGCTCTCAACTACTCAGATATGGTTTCCTCCTTTGTAGTGAAATAAACTGTTTCGTCTTTGGATTTTTTTTTTTTTTTTAGCTCATATAAGATAGTGTACTATAGAGATGCCTTTTTCCTTTTCCTTTTAATTACATTTTAACCACGTCCTGGGTTCAGAGTATGAGTAAACCATACCCTAAAAACGATACAGAGGTGAACATGACAAATATTTAAATGGCTGCTCTATGCCCAACATATTTAAGGTTGCTGGGGACGGGTAGAGCTAATAAATAAGGCCGCCGGGTCTGTTCTCATGGAGATTGTCAAATACACCCTTAAGAAACTTCTGATAGGGTGGGAAAACAGGCTGTAAATAACTAGTTTAATAAAGCTGTATATTAAATGTTTGTTTTCTCTGCTACCTTATATTTATTTACTCATTTGATCCTCACAACAATTCTACAGATATGGCCACAGTTCATCGAATCTCCGATGCCTACAAGGCATCATTTTAATGTAAATTATAAAATGCACCCCAGTCAGATACTGCTGAGATGAGAAAATGTGAAAAAAAAAATGTTAAATTCAGCAAAGTCTGGTATTATTACCTCCATTTTACAGATGAGGAAACAGGCCCAGGGAAGGTAAGTGATTTGCTTGAGAATACAAAATTGGTCGGTAGTGGAGTCAGGATTTGAACCAGGAAATTTGGCTCTGAAACCTGTGTTCTTATTCATTGCCTCACATGAAGTAGGGATACATGAATTGTAGGCCAAGTACTGTGGGACCACAGATTAATCAGTTGGTGATAAAATGAAAGATTCAGAGTGGGTGGCTGGATTTGGACTCATGGCGTGAGATTTTTCTGAGGAGAGGAGGGAAGTAAGGTAATGAGGATTTGAAAGTTCCTGTAGAGTATAAGTGGGCACGCTTTCACTCTCCTCCGCTCTCCCCGGGCCTCTTTACCTCCAAAATACCAGATTATTCACCTTACCAGAAATTGTCCATTGTGTCCCAGTACCAGGGTCCTTTGGGATGCCCCATTTTTCATAGTGACCTCTTCTATACGTACCTAAAACTTACCATTCGGGCAACGGAGGTGATTCTTTACATCGGCAAGGCTAGTGGGAGTTAGTCTGATTGCCTCTCTGCTCAAGATGAAAACCTGAAGATATGTGGTTCTGTAGAGTTTGATTATTTTACTGCTCCGTTTTCACTGCTACTCCATGCCAACAACATTTATCACTTTTTTGAATTCCTACCTTCAGTTTGTCACAGAATAACTTGTAACTGGTTACTAAAGATAAGTGAAATCCGGTATAAATAACACAGTTTATTATAACAGGGATGTTTGTGGGTCCAGTAAAATCTACGAGAATATAATGAAGTAAGCACAATACATCATGGTTAGTTAACAGAGTCTATCTTACTGCTTTGGTTCTGTGTATCTATTCTTTATATGTGCCTTGCTTTTAAAGAAAACTTTAAAACTTCCAAGTTACTACATGTGTTTAATGAAAGAATTCCTTTACAAAAGGAAGCACTCATAATAGTAATAATAGCTAATATTCATTAACCATTTCCTATGAGCCTGGCACCATACTAATGATGTAATGTATGGTGATTAACATAACATAATAAAATAAAAATTTTTTAAAAAAGTACTTTCCATGTATTAATGCATTTATTAAGTACTATTACATTTCCCTCATTTTGTAAATGAGGGAACTGGGGCCAGAATCTGAAACCAGGCGGCTAGCCTCCAGAGCCCACACTTACCTGTTAGGTTTCTATAGTGCGTGTGACCATATGTTTACAGTGTTTCTCTTAATAGGCTAGTTGTTCACTTAAAAAACTGGGGAACACTGTCTCTGCTAGATGATGTGAGATATAGAAAGAAGCACAGTTTTAATTCTTTGGGTTTGTCCAGTGGTGACATCTTGTGGAGATGGCTTAATTATCCTTTATCACTGTGACTTTTTATACTTTGTCAAACTAGCACTACTCCCGATTTGCACGTTTTAAAATGGTGCCATATTGTGTGCCTTCTAAAATTTTAATGACAGCTGTATACCGTGACCTTAAAAGGCTCTGGAAGTATTTTAAGTATGTGATTCTAATTATCTTATTTGGATGGGGATCAAGTAATAATGCTTATAATGTTGTTATCCCTTGCTCACTCTCCCCAAACCTTTCTTATTTTCTTGTATTTTAATCACCTACAGATCCAGATTTTATGAAACTTTGACTAAAATGTGATACATAATAGTGATTATTTTATGTATTAAATACACCAACAGAACTTAGGAAATTTTAGGATTCCCTTGTAAAGTTTAGTGTGGTTCTTCTGAATTAGGTGGATACTTGATAAAACTTAGGTCAAGTTAGTCATAGAGAATTGATGAACCAGTGATAACCTTTCCAGCACCCCCCACTATTTGGAACACCTCCAAGAATTAGGAAATAAGTAAAAGTGGCCTCTGAATAATAACGCATAGGTAGAGCTCATCTACTTTACTTTTAGAAAGCATTTCAGCCCCTTGCCACGTCTCAAATGCATTATTTAGTGGCAGTTAAACTAGCCAGCTTAGCCAGCTGCCTGCCAAGAGTACGTTACAGCAGTAGGGACAGGCTGCTGGTGGTGGCCTGGTGTGAATACATAGTGATGGCAGTTTGGCAAGAGGAAAGAGATACATCTGAGCCCACTTATCTCTTGGAACAGATTGATCTATATACTTTAATTTTAAAAGTAAGTTCAAACCAATATCCATCTTTTTTTTTTAAAAAAGAATTATGATAATCAGAAATTAAAATATAAAACATTTGGAGAGACATTCTGTCAGAAGTGATTTGCAATATTTTTGGTGTGTAAAGATGAGATTTTAGGTTATCTTGAGCTATTTGCTTATATAAGATGCTTCTACTTTGGGAAAATTAATTAAATGAATTAATGTTCCCTAATTTCAAAGACCCTGGTTGGGACAAAGTATAAATTATAATTTTGTCATTTTAATCTATCCATGTGTATATACTTCTGTTTAATCAGCTATGAGTCAGTGTTTAAGAAAACAGGTTCTGGAGTCAGATCTATTTGAACCTCACTTGTGTATTTTGTTAGTTATGTGGCTGTGAACAAAATACCTCTCGAGCCTTAGTCTCCTCATATATTCAGAAATAGTTACTGAGCAACTGCTGTGCCTGGTGCACTATTTTAGGAGTTAGGGATACATCAGTGACCTTAGAGTGTTAAAAAAAAAAAAAAATCCTGGTCCTCATGGAACTTCCATTCTAGCTGGGAGAGACAATAGAAGAACATTGATAGCACCTATATTCTAGAGGTATTTTTTAAGATTAAAGTAAGGGCAGTGCATATAAGGTTTTTTGTCTATAGTGTGTAATAAATTTGGGCATCTTATTTTTAGTGTTTGATTCTTCTCGTGACTAGTTTTGTTTAAAGTGAAATTTGTTGAGGATATTGGTTATCTCAGAAATTGATAACTAGTAATTTTTCATTGGTGATGTTGAATACATTAATTTTCTCTAATACTGTTGAGAGGAATAGAGGAATGGAATTAAAATCATTGATCTATGTTCTTTGCTTTCCTTTCTACCAGCCACCAAAAAAGACATCTAAAAGAGAAAAACCTAAACAGAAAGCTACTTCTAAAAGTAAGAAAACTGTAAAAAGTGCTAATGTTAAGAAGGCAGATAGCAGCACCACCAAGAAGAATCAAAACAGTTCCAAAAAAGGTATGTTAGAAATGACACATTTGCAGCAACTCTAAAGGTAGAACTCTTAACAGTTTTGAAGTGTGTGTGGAAAATAGATAAACTGCAAAGAAAATTGGCTGGGGGGAAGTGGTATACCAGTTTTTTTATAGTTGTAATTTTTCAAAATTGACAATGTCAATGCATGTTATGTACCTAATTTGTAGAGTGGTGATGTATCATTTTACCTGATACCCCTTTGAGAATCTAATGAATGCTTATCTTACTTTTAGAAAGTGAATCCGAGGATAGTTCAGATGATGAACCTTTAATTAAAAAATTAAAGAAACCTCCTACAGATGAAGAATTAAAGGAAACCGTGAAGAAATTACTGGCCAGTGCCAACTTGGAGGAAGTCACGATGAAGCAGATTTGCAAGGAGGTAATTGGACAAACCACTTGGATCATTTTGCTTTTATTTGAAAAATTCTTCCACTCAGCCCTCAGTTCAAAGCAAGATTCTTACGTGCATGCATTCACTGAATAAATGTCTGCTGAACTGTTATATGCCAGGCATTCTTACAGGTGCTGGGATGTTGCATTAAATAAATCAAAAAAGTCTCTGCCCTATTGAAGTTACTTCATAAATAACAGTAGGATGTGTACAGTGAATAAAGTGATACATTCCAAACTGCAGAGAAAACTTTCTTGTCCTGATCTGGAAACTGTTTTTATTGATGCATCCTTAGATTATGTTAGTTTAAAAAAAGCAGAATCTCGGGGCGCCTAGCTGGCTCAGTTGGAGGAGCCTGTGACTCTTGATCCTTATGGTCGTGAGTTCGAGCCCTGCGTTGGGTGTAGAGATTAAGATCACTTAAGTAGATCAATATTTTAAAAAACAGAATCTCATGGACCACCTTATTTTCAGCATTACTTTTTTTTTTTTTTTTTTTAAGTTTTTATTTATTTGACAGAGAGAGACACAGAGAGGGAACACAAGCAGGGAGAGTGGGAGAGGGAGAAGGAGGCTTCCCGCAGAGCAGGGAGCCTGATGTGGGGCTCGATCCCAGGACCCCGGGATCATGACCTGAGCCGAAGGCAGACGCCAAACGACTGAGCCACCCAGGCGCCCCTTTCAGCATTACTCTTAATAAGATGGTATAGATCAGGTTTTTAGCTCGGACTTCTGTGAAGTTTTTCTGACGCTCAGAAAATAAAATGACCTAGTCTTGAATAGGAGTCCATAGAGATTCCATACTCTAGATCAGAACTGGGAGATTTAGAATCTAGTTTCTCATGGTAAAACCAAATTAAAATTTCAAATGTACTAAAGGTGAAATATTCTATACTTTTTTAAGACCTTCATTATTGTTTTTATTTATTCATTCAGCATTCACTGAGCCTCTACTGTGTACCAGACACTCAGATAGGTTTGGGGGTAAAGTTGGGGAATCCGTTACTTGGCTGTTGGGGGCTTACGGTGAGGTGAGATAGGGGACGGCTGTTGCTGTGAGTTGGACAGTTGGTCGGGGCTGGGCTGGAAGAGTGCAGAAGGTGCCACACAACCACAGAAGGAGCTGCACCTGCTTGGGTCTGGGAGCAGGGAGGAGAGCCTAGAGCATCAGCTGTGCTATACAGCTGAGCAATATGGACACCTGTGCATAAAATAGGACAGTGACCGCAAGGAATAGTAATTAGTTTAATTTGAAGACTAGAGTTGGAAGGAAGTCGTCAACAGGAGTTAGGGAAGAAAAGGAGAAGTTTTGTAGAACTCCTGTATGCCTTGTGGCGGAGTTCAGTTTATTCCCTGAAACTAATGGGAGAATTGAGAGGCTCAGTGGGGTATTGGGAGCTGATCGGCAGGGGCCTGACACAATCCAATTTTTAAGAGTCATCCCAGACACATCGAGAAGGACAGAAAAAGAATGGGATGAGAGGCAGGAAACCCAAGTTTGTCATAATCAAAGTTACATGGTGGCCATAATCCACGTCCGAAATCAAGAGAGCCTCGTCAGAGCTTGCTCAGCTGTGGGTATTAGGGCACGCCTGCCTTAACCATCTAGGGAGCAGAACAAAGGGTACACTCTGAGAAAAAGAGGAGTTTTGTTCTAGACATTATGAGATGAGGTGCTGGGAACATCCAGGTGAGAGAAACTGACCATTGTAATTCTTCCAGGGTAGGAGAGAAAGCCAGACTGGGCTACTGCTGGGAGTTAAATCCAGAAGCTTAGATAAGGTGGCCCAGGCAAGAAGATAGAGGAAAGCAAAGGACAGATAGTCCTGGAGACCATTCACCTCAGAGTTGAGAAGTTGAGAAGTGATTTCTACAAAATATAAAAAATTGTACAGAGAGAGGTGCTATCAAAGCCAAGAGAGAGAGGAGACAGTTTCCAGAAGGGAAAGGACAGTGCCAGTTAAAAAAAGGTCCTGCCCTTCCATGGGACAGTGGTCCAGGACTATGGAAAACAGCTCATGGGTGGAAAAATAGAAATGCCCTGTAAACATGAAAACACACTTTCCCTACTCGAGGATAAAAGTTGAAATATTTTTGCTTATTAGCTTGACAGTCTTTATAAAGATTAATAGTTTTCATGCTTGGCAAGGGTATAGGGAGACATACTCATGCTTAAAGTTGTAACAGCTTTGCAGAACAATTAAGCAGTATCTTAAATTTAAATTGCAAATGCCCTTTAACCTAGCAATTCCATTTCTAGGTCTCTATGCTAAAGACATAGTCACATCTGCACAAAATGATTACAATAATGTTCAGCATGTCTGTTAATATTGAAAAATCAGAACCTAACTGGCCATCGATAGGGAAATGTTTAAACTGGTACATCTGTATTTTTGGAATTTTATGTAGCAGTTCAGAAGAACATGGAAAAGCCTCCCAGGTATTGTCAACTTTATAAAACATATAGAATATTACCCCATCTATGTAAATACAGAAAAAACAGTATTGCCATTGATACATTTATGTGTTTGTGTAAAAACTCGTTTTTTAAAGGTCTGGAAGAATACATAGCGAACTGATAACTGGTTTCCTCTGAGGGGAGGGACAAGGGCAGAGTGGAGTGCAGAGAAAGTTCTGTGCCTTTGACTTTTGTGAATACACTTACGTAATTTTTTAAGGGGATGATTAACATGGAGAGGTCAGGTGAGAACTTGAGGGGGGTTTTTTGGACTCAGCAAGTAGATAATTTTGAGCAATTTCGAGGGTGGTAAATGCAAGGGTTATTCACCCTTGGATTGAGAATGAATAGTGAGGAAAGTGAATAAATTAAAGCTTCTGTTTTAAGTAGCTTGCTTTAGAAAGGAAATAGTAGCTAAATGGGGGGTGGAGATACAAGCTGATAAAAGATTTTTAAGCAGATTAGGGAGAGAAAGCACACGTATATGTTAGGTTTGGAGACAGTGCTGGGATGGCAGGGGAGAGTTACGGAAAGGGTTCCTGCAGAGGTAAAGGACATGGGGAATATTGATAGATCCAGATACAAATAAGCTCGAGGGGAAGAGGTATGTCAGGAAGTGGAAGGAATGCGTAATAGTGGCTTCTTGGCCAAGAGCGAAAACGAGGAAGGGGTGAAGATGCCGTTGACAGGAATGACGGCATGACGGAGGACCTGATGGGATATTTAGAGGGATTGCTGGAGAGGCTCTGGCAGTGGATACCATGAATTTGAAATGGGACCAGTCTTTTATTCCTTTTTTTTTTTTTTTTAAGATTTTATTGATTTGAGAGAGAACGAGCGGGGTGAGGGGCAGAGGGAGAGGCAGACTCCCTGCTGAGCAGGGAGCCCGACTTGGGGTCCCTGAGCTGCCTGAGCTGAAGGCAGACGCTTAGCTGACTCTGCCACCCAGGCACCCCGGACCAGTCCTTTAAAGGTGGTATAGACAAGTTGGTAGTTAGACCAGTTCAGGGTCAGAGTTTTGCAGAGAAAGAACAAGGGCGAACAACTGGAATGATGTAAATGATTGACTCTGTTCGCAGAAACTGCAGCCTGTGGGCCAAATCTATCTTCCCATCTGTTCTTGTAAATAGTTAATGTGACAGCCACATCCATTCATTCCAGCGTTGTCTGTGGCGGCTTTCACACTCCGATGGTGTAGTTGAGTGGTTGTGACAGAAACTGTGTTCCTGGAAAAGCTGAAACCATTTACTCTCTGGCCCTTTACTGAAAAGGTTTGCTTACCTTCACTGCACCTCAGGAGTGAAGCCTGCGCGGGTGCGCATGGGGTCAGCCCAGGAGTCCTTGTGAAGTCAGCCAGCGGGGAGCCAGTTGACAGAAGAGAGGGACATTTAGAAAAGTTTAGGAATAGAGGACTCCTGAGACCACCTGGATCTTGGGGAGTTCACTTAGGGGAGGGGGCAGAGTGGTGGAGTGGAGGCTGAAGCTCATCAGAGTTCAAGTTGAGCCTCAGGAGTGTTGGAGGACATTAACGAGGAAGCGTAAGGAAGCCTGTAGGAGACCTCTGGGCAGGTCACCTGCCGACATAAAGAGCTTAGTCCCCTTACGGAAGAGCGCTGCGTAGCTGTCCGCCTCGCCCGTGTCTCTTACGGCAGCGGTATTCCCAGAAGCCAGTACAGCAGGGAGAACGCCCGCACGCTGGGTTATCGTCTGCTCATTGCAGCTGAGTCTGCTGAGCGGGAACACTGGTGTGGATGTGCAGCTGGGCGTACACGCCATCCATCTCTTCTTTATGCAGAGGTGTAAAGAGTATCACTGGATTTCTAAATCTACTTTTAATCTTTTTCCTTTTCACTATAGGTATATGAAAATTATCCTGCTTATGATTTAACTGAAAGAAAAGATTTCATAAAAACAACTGTGAAAGAGGTAAATATGTCCACCTTTTCTAATTTTGATCATTTTGAACATCTAAGACAAAGGACTGATGTACATCAAATACTGCATATGTTTCAAAATACTCATGTCACCAAATATATCACATTCGACCCTCAAATTTTCTCAAAATAGATGGGGAAAATATTTTTCTTTCCCACTGTAAAGCTTAGAAGTACAGTCCGGACAGTAGTGACAAGACGAACGGACCTCAGGCCCGCAGTGTACGCAGGCAGCCGGGTGTGTCCCGGCCACTCCCATAGCGAGGACAATCGCTGTCCACCAGAGGCAGAAGATCAACAGTAGCCAGAGTTTGCTGTTGGTCCCAACAGATTTCCCAAGGTTACAGTGGTAAAAAACAATTTGAAAAGTGGGGGGGAGGTTATGATTTTTGTGTTCCTGACGTATTTTCGGTATAGGAAAATGATGTTTCTCTTGTTGCAGCTGATTTCTTGAGGCAGAGGAGACATGACTTGTCCCGTGGATGTAAAGATCTGATTTATACCATTATACCAGCAAAGAGAATGTATTTCCTTTTCTAAATCCTTGCAAGCATTGTGTTGGTAGAACTTATTGCTGATCTTTTTATCTTGAGTGTTAAGTAAATTTGAGTTTGTTGTTTTAAATTGCATTTCTATGCAGTTTTTAGTTTAAAATTTTGCATGGCAGTAACTGTTCCTTGCTTTTATAGTTGTATTTTGTACATTTTGGATTTCTTTATATGAGATCATAGATTCTCGAACTGTTGTAGTTTTTAGCGCGCTTAGTATTCGCTTGTTTCAGAAAGAACTTTTAATCAAGTAGAACAAACTATTCCTGACATTTATACATGCAGAGACTAAGGCAGTATTTAGTACACGAAATATTTTGAATACACATCTGTCAGTGGCAGTGTGTTCATCATATTAAAAATATACAGGCTTCAGCTATTGAGATTCAATTGGAAATTTTCTGCTGCATGTGTATATATGTCAAATTGTCAGCATGACAAAAGTGACAGATGTTATTTTTGTATTTTTAAAAAGAATTTGTTGTATATAAAGTTTTTTTATTTCTTTTGTGCAGATCAATTTTTAAACTCTAGGTAGGTATCTTTACAGTTAAACTATGAAATGTCAGTGTTCGGCCAGATGGTATGACGGAGCAGTGAAAGTCAGAATTCAGTGGAGAAAACACTGAAGGAACAGATCGTTCTCTGCTTTGCCTTGGAAGTGTCATCAATTTGTAGTTTTAGTGTTAACTCTGCAAGTGTCTGTAGATACATTTTATATTAGGTATCAACCAAATCAGTACATCAGAACTTCAAAATTTGGGGACAGGGTGGGATTAAGTACAAGCACATTTGGCTTATAATAAATGAAGTGATTTTTATTAACTGCTTTTGCCCATATAAAATGCTGATATTTACAGGAAACCGGGCCACCTTTATAATTATGATAAATGTATGGAGTATAATGCTAGAAGATAATATGTAGGCAATAGTGGGTATCTCTGACAAAGTATTTCTCAAAAGTGATAAAAGACTTATTTTTAACATTAAAGAACTTTAATGTATTTGTGGAATCAGGGTTTTTGGGTTTTAAATTTTGGCCAATCAGGATTCTAGGTGATCAATATACAGACCACTCCTGAACGAGACTGTTTTTAAGTTGTCTTAATCAGTTTATTGAATAATCTCTGAATTTTAAAATAAAACAATGCTACTTATGAGAGAATTAGGCCTTTGATAAACCAATTTGAGTGTTTAAAATAAAAATCCATCCATAGAAATACATAAAAATGGTATGTGTTGACGGTTAGGCTTTTTAACAGGTTTGACTTGTTTCTTGATAAATACAAATGGAGTAAACAACTAAGTGAGACCTAAGAATTGGCCTTTGATTTTAATATTTAATTTGTTCCTATAAACCTTGTCAATAAAAATAATAAATCCATGCTCTTGTCTCTTGCATTAATGTCTTACGGTTCCTGTAGCATCCCCCCCTACCCCCCCCCCAGCTGAGGATTTCAGAACAGCGGTTTTTAGGTGGATTTAGCCCCATGACCCATTTAATTTGGAGTGCCGTTCAGTGATAACGGACCACGCTCACATTGTATGGAGAGGTCACAAAGGAAAACTGGGAAGTGATCTCATAGAAGGTGGGTGATTATCGTTAACAACTGTTTATATATTATGATCATTTACTTGAAAGGGGGTGAGCAAAATCTACAGAAGGTTTGGAGGAGGGGACTGGTGGGGTGCCTGCAAGCTCATGGGTAAGGCGTAGCTGGTACGAGTACACTCATCACTACAGTGCACAGTGTATTTGAAAAACAAGTCTAGTTTTTATTAAGCAGTTTTACACAACCAGCTGTTCACAATGTGCAGTTAAAACACTGTATTCACTGCTATTCAATTACAAAATCTTCAAACAGTGAAAAACAAACTCAAGAAGAAAAGAAAAGTACCGTGGTTCCTTAACGAACAAAAAGTCAAATGAGTCACTTGAGACAGGAAATTTTTTACGTATTTACTGTACTTGAGCTAACTAGGTTTTTCCTTAGTTTGCTTGTAAGCACAGTACAAGTTTAAGTGCCCAGAAACTAAACAACTGTGAGCCACTTCAAACTTAAAATATTTTGCGTTTATCACTAAACACATGCTATTCTTTAAACATTTTAATACATAACATTTTAAAGCAGAATACTTCCCAATCAGTACCAATGAGTCTCATTAGATAATCTAAATATCAACATTTTCCTGTGTTAACCCAACTTTGAAACCAATTTACGGCTGTTGGCTTTTCTGTGTATCATACTTTGATGGGGAGGGAATGTGTCTAAATTCTGTCTAAAGTTTGCATAAAATACTATTTCTACTTAGAAGCTGACTTTAAATTTTAAAAATACCTAATATTTTGCAAACTGTCTTTAAAGTCATTTTGAGTCCCTTTTTGAAGCAGACTAATATAACTGAAAGAACTGTTCACACTTTTTAAAACAAAAGCACTTAAGTTACCATCCACTTTTCTAACTTCTTGGCAAGATAAGCATTCTGAAGACCCTGAAACCAGTGTTTATTTTAATTGAATTATTTTGTTACGAGTGAAAAAAGGAAAAAGTATCTGCCATGTTCTCAGGCTTTTAAGATATGGCTTTAAATGTGTAATATTTACCAGGATATCCCATTTTTTCTGCAGTTTTCCAGTGGACCTGCCTATGGAATACTGAAAACATAATGCTGTAAAAAATACTCCTGAAGTTTGAATCCGTTATTTTAAAAAGAGGCAGGAGAGGGAGTTTCTTACTAAAGTATTCTGACAAGAAAGATCTTTTTGCTAGTGGGTGCCAAAATTAAGGCTATTTAAAGTGTGCCATCCACCCAAACTTGGCTCTTAGAAAAATAGCCATATTCTAAATGGTCTAAAGTATGAAGACTAGACTATCTCTACCCCATTCTAAATGACAGAATACCTATGCTGTTTAAGGAACTGAAAATGTTGTTTTGCCAATGAGTGCACAAATCTAAAATGTATCACAAAAGATACCTGAATTTAAATTTCTTTTGAATAACCCAATGGAAAGGAATATGTACAATATAAAACAGTCTAGAAGTTTCATTTACTTTTAACCGAAGAGTTTGTGCTGCATCCGAAATGGAAAGATTCTTATCTAAATTTTAAGTAAAAGCTCAATATTGGAGCTATATAAAAGTCTTAAGGCTCATTGGCAAAGATGCTGATAAACTGTCACAGAAGAAAAATACATGGCTTTATCTGGGTTTTTAATGATTGCTGCTTGGTTTCTCAATGTTTGAAAACTGATGAGCCCAACAAAATATCAAATTTAAGGGGAGTCTCCAACCATGGAAGAAATCCAATCCAAAATCTTAATTTAAGGTTCTATTCTGCCTTATTCTGAAATACAGAGGACTTAGCCCTAATCAACCTGTGGAAAAAGCAATTAAATATAAGTGCTTCAAACGGATTCTTGGGGCTAAGAATGCTCTCAGAGGTTTTTTTGTTTGGTTTTATGAAAGTGAGGTTTAACATGTGTTTCAAACTTTACCATTTGGGGCACAGAAGAAAGCTGGGTCCAAATTCTATTCAAAATGCTGCGATCTTGCTTGCTTCTCGAACACCACTCAGATATGCCCCTGTAACAGTTTGTGGAAAATGCCTGTTTGTTGCCTGTAAGAAATAATTGCATAATTTGAGGTCATGTCTAAGGAACTCAGATGATAATCAACAGAATACAAGCTTAAACTTTCTCTGACCCTCAAAGATGGATGGCACTTTGTGTTCCTATGAACACTACTCCCCATCACTGCCCCTGAACTTCTCTGGTTACCCCACCATACCTCACCAGATCATTCCACAACTTACTCTGCAGTCCTGTGAAGTACCGTGTGCCAGTCCTTAGGCTCTGATCTCTCTATACCACGGACTGGAACTAACAATAATGAGTAAGACACAGTCCCTGCCCCCCCGCCATCAGACAAATAATCTCGCTGTTAGAATCAGCGATGAGGGAGGCACTGAACATGAACCGATCCATCCACAGTGGGAGTTTCGCTAGATGGCTGGAACAGAAGGACAGAGCAGAGTTACTTCCAGGAGGTTGTAGCTGGAAGAGAACCAGCAAGCCAGGACAGGAAAAAAAGAATCCTGATCTGTGTCTTCGGGGGTGGGAGCAATGACCAGGTCTGGGTTGTAGCTGTGGAGAAGAGCCAATGACGTGGCGGTAAGCAGACCTCAGAAGATGGGGAAGGATATGAAACAGGAAGCTCCGTGTGAACTAAGCTATGTGCCATGTCACCTAGATGGATGGCTGGGATGGAGCGAAGACGTCCAGCGCCAAAGACTTCAATAAATGGAGGGATCATGATCAGGAGGCAAGGATGCAAGTACCAGCAGGGGAGACGGGCAGAAACCTAACAGAAATGGGTTTAAATTTTTTCTCTGTGAGGTAACAACTATCACGTGAGCCTAAAAGACCTTCTGGAAGCAGCTGATAGTTGCTGCCCGGCATGCAGTCATGCTCTGTTCCCACAGAGCTGGCTCTCTGCAGGCCAAGGACGAATCCAAGATAGCCAGCTTTTAAATGACGTTCTTTTGTAATCCTCCAAAAGTCAGGAAGAGAAAAGGTAACACCAACTCCCATTTTCAATGACTTCACCAGAAGACGTGTGTGGTCCTAAGCTAACATACAAAGTATGAAAACAGATGAAAGCGTGCTGACAATTCGCTTCACTCTGCTACATCTGGGAAGGGGGTGGGGTGGGGGGGTCAAAAGCAACCAATTCACCCCCAAAGAATCATTTAGAAATCTCAGCCACTGGAGGTATCAAGAACCACAGAGGCAGAGGTCGGGCATGAGTGAAAACAGGACTGAAGGCTACGAAGAGCAATCTGGTCCCTCACCAGGTTCCCCGCTCCCACTGCCACAACCCACCCAGAGATCTGAGGAGGCAAGGGTGAGGCACCGAACAATACGGGGATTAAGTCAAGTCTTCATAACTAAGAGCAAAGCTTCCGGCTCCCAGAATGTCAGGAACTGCCACCAAACAAAGAGAAACTACATGTTCCCAGAGGAAAGAGCTACAGATAGATATACTGATGTGTGGGGATCCAACCACCCCCTGGCAAGCTTGCAGGAGCTTTCGGTAGGCTTTTATAAGAACGCCTTGCTCAAATCTAAGCAGACAGTCAAGGATGGGATATTTGGACATGTGGAAGGCAGAGGCTAAAGGAAAACAGGAACTCAGGAGTCATGAAGCAAGAAAAGGATGCTACCAGAAGAATAATCCAAGGACAAGAACGTGCTCATAAAAGAGCCAAAATTTCCTAAGTCAATTCAAGGGTGGGAAGATGAATCTCCCCACCACAACAACAGGATAAGAAGACAGATGAGTAACAGCAAAGAGAAGCAAATCAGATAAATTAAGGAGTTCCAACATATGCAATAGAATATCTAGAAATAAGAGGAAGAAATGGGAGAAAATGATCAGAAGTGAAAAAAAGACTGAAGGATATGAGCATCTAGATAACACACAAGCAAAAACAGGCACAGAAAAAATTATGGATCAAAACAGCATAACATTTCTCAACAGAAATAAACCAAGAAAGAAGGTAGGCCACTTCATACCCATTACGATGGCCATTATTAAAAAACCCCAGAAAATCATGGAGCCCCTGCGTGGCTCAGTTGGTTGAGGGTCTGACTCTTGATTTTGGCTCAGGTCATGACCTCAGGGTCGTGAGATTGAACCAAGCATCGGGTTCCCCTGCTCAACACGGAATCTGAGATTCTCTCTCCCTCTGCCCCCCCAACCCACACTCTCTTTCTAAAATAGTAATAAATCAATCTTAAAACAATCTCAAGTGTTGGAACCTCTGTGATTGCTGGTGGGAGTGTAAAATGATGCCGCTGCTGTAGGAAACAGTGTAGTGGTTCTTCAAAGAATTAAGCGTAGAATTAATATATGATCCAGCAATGCCTCTTCTGGGTATATACCCCAGAGAACCCAAAGCAGGTTCTTGAAGACACAGGTACACCCATGTTCACAGCAGCATTACTCACAACAGCCAAAACGTGGAAGCAACTAAAGCGTCCAGGACATGAATGCATACACAAAATGTGATCTATAGGGCGCTGGGGGGCTCAGTTGGTGAAGTGTCTGCCTTCAGCTCAGGTCATGGTCCCAGGGTCCCGGGATCGAGCCCCATGTCGGGCTCCCTGCTCAGCAGGGAGCCTGCTTCTCCCTCTCCCTCTCCCTGCTCATGCTCTCTCTCAAATAAATAAAATATTTTAAAAAAAGAAATGGGATCTATACATGTGGTGGAATACAGTTAGTCTTCAAAAAGAAGGATATTCTGACACGTGCCATAACGTGGATGAACCTTAAGGACATATCTGCTGAAGCCAGTCGCGAAAGGACAAGCACTGCAGGATCCTCATCCTGGGAGGAAGAGGCGCCCAGAACAAACCCGTAGAGATGGAAGGTGGAGAAGTGGTAGCCTGGGGCTGGGAGAGGGGGATTGGGCGGTGTTGCTTCATGGGGACCAAGTTTCAGTTTTGCAGGATGAGGAAGTTCTAGAGATGGTGGTGATGAGGGCACAGCAGCATCGTTGTATATGATGCCACTGAGCTATACACCTAGAAACAGTCAAGATGGTCAAAGCCTCGTTCAAGATGGAAATGGGCCGTCGTTGATGGTGTCCGGATATGGTGACTGTGGCTACACTGGGACACGGGCGCTTCCATCCCAGCAAGTGTACTGCAGGGGTGACCACCAGACCCCTAACGGTCTCTGCGAGGCTCATGCAGTACAGAGGAAGTAATGAGACCCTTCAATATTAGAAACAATTAAGGAAAAATAATTTTAGAGCATTTGCCAAAACAGCAGTCCATGTACTTCCTACGATTTGACTTCTCAGGCCCTAATGTAAAGAAACTGGATGCCAAAGATTACAGGTGGGGAGTCTGTGAAGTCTGTCCGTGTTCAAGTGGAGATCAGAGAAGCCCAGCCATGAGAACCGTGGGCTGACTGACCGTGACAACCGCCGACAGAATAAAAGTTCTTTACCGACTTGAAAATAGTTACAATGGTAAATTGTACGTCATGTGTAATTTACCACAATTGAAAAAACACCTGTTTTAAAAAAAAAAAAAAGAGGGACGTAGGAAATAAAAACGCCAACACTGGAGAGGCGTAAGGGGTCCCGGAGGTCAGCCAGCGCAGCCCAGCGCGCCCCAGCGCACGGCCGGAGGGCGCCGGGAAGGGGGTTTCAAGAAGCGGAGCGAACACGCCAGCTCCCGGGCACCCCAGCAGCTGCGGGGAAGGCCGCAGGCGGGCTGAGGGGTGCGGGGCCGCGACGAGCGTCCGGAAAGCGGCGCGAGCCGTCGGGGACGCCTTGGCTCTGCAGGAAGCCGCACCGCAGGCGCTCCGCCGCCCCTCTCGGGTGAAACCGCCCCACCACACGGGCCAAATCTTCAAGCTGAGGAAGCCAGCAGCCAAGGGCCGCCGTGTCAAATCAAAGGCAACGAGAGAAATGTCGGAAAACAGGAAGCAAATTCCTGAAGAAACGACAGGCTTAAAAACGGCTTTCCTGGGAGCGTGAGGAGCTGTCTGGTGTCATGACGCTTTTTTTTTTTTTTTTTTAAGATTTACTTTAGACAGAGATGGGGGGGAGGGAGAGGGAGAGCGAGACTCTGAAGCAGACTCCATCCCAGCACGGAGCCCGATGCGGGGCTCGATCCCCCCCGCCCTGAGGAGATCAGGACCTGAGCTGCCACCAAGAGTCGGACGCCTCACCGACTGCGCCACCCTGACGCTCCTGGTGTCGTAACACTTTTGACTTTGCTTTGAAACCCTGGACATTCCCCCCTTCAACGAAAAGAAAGCAACCAAAATGAAGGTGGTCGCGTTCGGGATCCCGACACGCACCTCGCCAGCAAAAAAGACCGTTCCTTGTATTTCCTCAGCAATGATATCGTAGGCTTCTCCGCTCCCGCCCGTCTTCACGAAGCTGTACGCCATCTGGATCCAGGGGTCTGTGCTCCACCGAGTGACGAAATACTTCGTGGGATCTGGAACTTCCTGTGTCCAGCGGGAGGAGCCGTGAACCAGGAGCAAAGAGGGACTGACACGTGCTGCGGCCCCGGAGCAGCGACACCCAGTCCCGCCGCCTCTAGAAACGGGGATCATCCCTCTGCGCCCCCCGCCGCCGGCATCCCCTCCCCCGACGTCTCACGTCTACACCGTCTCCAGCCAGAGACGCGCGCCCCCCCAACCCAGCGGGCCCTCCCTGGCGGCTAAGACCCGGGCGCGCCCCTCCCGACATCCCGACGCTCGGCAGGCGCGGAGGGTGCCCGGGGCGGAAGGGAAGGGGCCGTCCTGGGCCGGGCTGGAATTCTCAACAGCCTTCACCCAAGGGCCACGGGCCGGTCGGTTTCATGTTCACTAAGCTTCAAATGAATTCTGTGCCTCTGACAGGCACAAGCATGAAAAATATTTCCACGGAAACAATGTGCGAAGTTCCAACTAAGGAGCGTGAAAACAAGTTTTGGGGCAAAAACCCCCAAGCGAGGGACAACTGGAAGATGTAATCAGATCACGTAAAATAAGCCAACACCCTCCGGGGGGGCCTCTCGTTCCTTATGTTACTTTTGAGTCATTTCAACTCTTTCTACTCCTACTCCTTTATTCAAAAAAGATAAAAGCCACGCCACTGACAGATCTCTGGAGACTGTGAGATTTGGTAAACTGACAAATATGAAGTACCCTGAGCTCCTTGGAGAAAAGACAGAAAAGGGATGAGCTGCGTCTGTGGGGTGGGAGAAAATTCTGGACCATACCCCTTTGAAAGGAAAGTTGTCAAAGCTGGCTGGGGTTTGGGTTAATACAGGACGTGGGGAAAAGGCTGAGCCTTTGACATCCTTGGGCAAGCAAGGGGGTGTGGTGCTCGCTGAGGCAGCACATACACTAAAAGGGGAACCATACAGAGAAGATGAGCATGGCCTCTGTGTGAGGCTGACATGCAAATTCGTGAAGCCTTCCACATTTGGTGCAGTTCCCCAGCGAACAGCCCCCCTCTGTGGATTAGCACAAAAAAGGAAGGGAGGGAGGAGGGAGGGAAGTGTGTGATGTGAGCAAAAAAGGAAGACAATGGTGTGAAAGGTGGTACGGAAGACTGCTATAGGCTCATCTGTGTTCCCCTAAAACCCCTACGTTGCAGCCCTTAACCCCCAGTACCTCATAAGGGAACGCTATCTGAGAACGGGCTATCCTCAGGTCCTCACATTACAATGAGGTCCTCAGGGTGGGCTTTAACCCAGTATGACTGGTGTCCTTATGAGAAGAGGAGAGGACACAGACCAGCACAGAGGGAAGACCGGGTGAGGCCACAGGGAGGAGGAGGCCCATGTGCAGGCCAAGGAGGGCGGCCTCGGAAGAAACCAGACCTGCCTGCACCTTATCTTGGACTTCCGGCCCCTAGCGCGGCCGGGTCCAGGTATGGAGGCGGGAGGCTGGACGTGGGAAGAAGGAAGGACGCAGCCCATGCCCCATCCCCTTCGTCCGCAGTAACACAAGCATGGCTGGCTCAGCACGCTGGGTTCTCTGACCTGCTCTTTGAACAGCTCCCGGAGGACAGCCATGCACTGTTGCAGCACCTGCTTGTCATCCAGGGTCCGGACGGACGCCACCGCCTCACCGGCGACCACCGACATCAGCACGCTGTGCTGCTTCTGCAGACACAGGAGGAGGCACAGGCAGGTTACACTCTCTGCTTTCAGGACAGAGGTCCCTAGATGCACGGCTCCAAATCGGTAAGGACCCCGTGCTCACAAACCTCCTTATCTCCTCCTCCTTTCAATCCCCAGTCCGTTTCCCTGATAAAACTCATTATGGATCTATACATTTTGTTGTTTGCAGCTGGAAAGCTCAGGAAGAAGGGTAAATATCAAATTCAGGGTTGCTCTTGGCTTTTCCCTTATAAGAACTTGTTCTAGAAAAAACAGAAGACGGAGGAGGAACATCTGCAAATAAAATCAGGGGAAAAGTCCTTCTCAAGCGGTAAAGAAATTTTGCCCGTGGCTCCCCAGAGAAACCTTTTAAGGTGCAGTTTCTTGGAAGGAAGAAGAAAAGGGAACAACCAGGGTGATTCTTTTGCAGGACATCAATAGTACATTTCAAGTGCCCCGCCCACCGCCCCCTCCGGTCACACGGGCCAACACCACGCCTGCCCTCCTCCGGGCCAATCCCATCCCGCCCTTCGGCGCTCACAGGAGGACCCTCGAGAGTGCCCTTCAGGTACTGCTCGTTACTGTGCTGTGCGGACTCTGCCTAAGAGGCCGCCCCACCAGCCTGAAACACTGATCCACTTCCCGGGGAGCAATATGAGCCCTTGAAGAAAATATGGCAGATGCTGGGGCTCCTTTCCTGTAGGAAAACATACCAGTCCAGGTATCCTCAAGCATATCAACATAGATCTAGAGCATCCACCACGTCCATCAGTTCCTGAGCTTGACCGAATTCTAAACCGTAGGAAGGGAAATTCAAACCACATTTCACCGGCAACTTTACCTGAGGATCCATGTCATAGAACACAGCAAAGAGCCCCCGCTTGCTGGCGCTAGGAGGTACGTGACCGAAAAAATCAGCCCCTTGAACTTTACTGTCCCAAAATCGATAAGGAAATTGCAAGGCAATCTGGAAAGTGAGCAAGAGAAAGATGGTTAGGAGTTTCTGGAATCGGAAGTACGGCAACCTCTAAGAAGCACCCTATAGTCCTTAACTAAAGAGCTATGCACAAAAACAAAAACCTAAATGTTCCCTTTCCATGTGCTTGTCTCGTTTGTTTTCTTGTGAGCATCTGGCTTTTTGTGCTGTTCAGTCCCGTACTCCCACCGACGATGGTGGGACCCACCGACAACCACCAGGCTCATCTGAAGATGCAAAGCATCCCTGAGACCTGGTCTTGAAGCAAATGTCCCTAAGATCAATTCTAGCCACCCCGAGGACTGCCAGGATCCCCTGTAGCGCTGGCATGTTCTGCTAGAGAAGATTTTAAAGGCAGAGGAAGTAAAACTCCTCATTGGGACCAATTAATGAAGGGCAGGCATAGAAAGCAGCCAAAAAAAAAAAAACAAAAAACCTACCTTATTTACATATTTATATGCCAAGTTCAAATTCTGAATTGTTAACAAGACTCATTTTCCTAACATCAAAATTCAGACCTCGGCCAGCTCTCCTCCTCTCGTTTTGATAAAGTCCTTTTGTATGCTTCATGAACGATTATTCAAATGAAAAGAAAATCTTCGAATTTTATTTGAATTAAAAAATTATCCACTACTTCCCAATACCAGAAGCCAGGGAACTCCGGTCATCTGACTTTAATCTCTTTAGTTCTGAGGCTTGAGTACCATAGTCACCTTTTCAATGATGCCTGCACCTAAGCTGTTGATAGCCTTCATCTTCTTGTCTGACAGCGGTGGGTTAAAGTGAATGGCACCCTTCTGCAGTAAGGCGAGTGGGACAGTGACTAATACCTGTGAGAAAAAATGAACGGTGAACACACAAAAGCAAGTGAACCTAACACCACAACTACTCAGTGGATTCATTTCCAGGAAATTCTCAACACACAAAGGACACTCCTCTCTACTGCCAATCATGAGATTGTCAACGGTCCCATGTTATATTGAGAAGAACAAGGGCTGTCATGTACTATTGGGCAGGTTGTTCACTGCACAAGGGTGCCTGGCTGAGCAGAAGTGACATCCACATGGAAGAACTCACAGAGAGGTCTTGATGGTTTAGAATAACCCTGGGTAAAAAGAGTCAATGGATCCCAATCCTGAAAAGCAGTACCGTAAGAGGAAATGGCCCTAAATACGGAGTCAGGAGAACTACCTTTGTGTATCATTACCGACACTACCTGATGTGTGGCTAGTACCTGCCCTACTAACCTCAAAGAACTGAGGTAATGCTTAAAACAAAAACTCTTACAATATACATCAGTGTGCTTCAGAAATGGTAAAGTACATCAAAAACAGTATGGAGTATTCTAATCACAAAGAACCACAAAAAAATTTTAAGGAGAAAATTTATTGCAGGGTCTCTCCAATGGCTCACAAAATCATTTAGGAGAACTGAAGTAACAGGTGCGAATGGAGCCTTCAAGAAGGACTGACTCTCCAAGTCCCATCACAAAACCCGGCCATCAAAGAGCTGCTGTCTCTCCATACAATCAGGAAATTTCTGGCTCCAGAACCATGTCACCACAACCACAGCCAGAAGCCATCAGTCCTGCTGCCGGCTCCAGAATCGTGTCGCTTACAGAGCAAGCTGCACCAGCAAAATGGGTTCCTCATGCCCCGCTCGGGACTCCCTCGGGGCGAGTGAGTGGACCCTGGGGCCTCCACTGGCCCCGCTGCAGAAGGGCCCGACACCCTGGCCGTCACGCTTGCCAGAAGTGAAGCAAACGCCACACCATGCCTTCCAAGTCCCACGCTAGTGTAGCTGAGTGGCTGCGCCTTTCGTATCTAGAACCTCAGCCGCTAGGAGTCTGGGAAGTGCGTGTGTGTGTGTGCGCGCGCGTGTGCACACAGCAGGAGCGTGCGATGGAACCGAACGTCAAGCACCCTAGCTACCAGAGCCCTATCAAAGGTTTCGTGTGTTTGGCTTAAACCCCAACTCCAGGACCCCAGAAGGCCAGAGTTCTTCCTGTGACTGTGTCACCATTTTCTGCCACAGGGAACTTTTAGAAAGTATAAAGCATTTTCTGTGTCATCATCATGCAATCAAAAAAAAAGGGGGGGGGGCGCCTGGGTGGCTCAGTCGGTTAAGCGTCTGCCTTCGGCTCAGGTCATGATCTCAGGGTCCCAGGATCGAGTCCCGTGTCAGGCTCCCTGCTCAGCGGGGAGTCAGCTTCTCTCTCTGCCCCTCACCCTGCTCTTGTGCTTTCACTCTTTCTCTCTCAAATAAAATCTTTAAAAAAAAAAAAAAATTATTCTCTTGAATGCGTAAGAACTTCAAGGAAATAAGATCTAGTTTTTTTTAAGATTTTATTTATTTGTCAGAGAACACGCGCACAAGCAGGGGGAGGGGCAGAGGGAGAAGCAGGCTCCCCGCTGAGCAGGGAGCCCGACATGCGACTTGATCCCAGGACCCTTGAGATCATGACCTGAGCCAAAGGCAGACGCTTAACTGACTGAGCCTCCCAGGCGTCCCAGATGTAGATATATTCTTAACAACAAAAAAGCTTTCAAGAGCACATGAGCGAAGGTAAACAAACAGGCGAAAGAGATAAACATACGTTGGCCAGGGACTCCCACCAGATCTCGATGCAAGCAGCCTAGAGACCACACCACAGTTCGTCAAATGTTTAATCAGTGTATCAGGTTGGGGTGGTAATCTTTCACTTATAAGATGGTTTGGAAACTTCCAATTCAAACCATGTGATGTGTGCAGACTACCATAAAAAGACTTCCTTTAAATGTTTCGGAGCAGACTCTGAAACCCAGCTCTGCCCTAATAGCCCTGGAGAGCCGGATTCAAAGAAAGGAAGGCAAAGGAGCCTGGTTAGGGTCAGGCTAAGGGTGAGCCGGCAGAGGGTGAGCCGGCAGAGTCACAAAATCCCAGTGGTTGAGCCATCAGGTGACTTGCAATTTTAAAAAGAGGTATTTAAAAAAAAATTTTACCACTAAGAGGAGCCTTAGATATTAGGCTGATTCTCACTTTGGGGCTCACAGATAAGGACACTGTCACTGGCCTGGCCACATGCTGGACTCACCTGGGTAAGTGTTACAAACATGACCAGCACGATTCACTGAGAATCTCTGCGGGGTGGGGTTCTGCAGTCTTTCTTTGTAAGCCCCTCCCAGGTGATTCTAACCTGAGCCAGGACTGAGAAGCACTACCAGTCCAAGGACTACATCCTACCACTCCTAACTCCCCCGAGAGTCAATGGCAGGAGTAATAGGAGGACCTGCCCCGTGGGCTCATACATTAGACCCCGTCTCTTCATTTGACATGCGATCCTTTACTTCTGTATGAGTATCATGGA